CTAAATCTCTTATTACTAACATCCGTAAAATCATGATAGCCCAGCAAATCAGTTAATAAAAAATTCAATCATTAACACCATAGACTTTACCTGTATGTCATCATTTTTTATGAGAAATTCGGCGATTCATGAAGTGCCATGTTCAAAAGACAAAAATTATTGCAGTCACTTACTCAATAATATGATGCATCCCAGATTACATTTTTCTTATCATGTAATCTTCCATATTATTGTAAATCGTTATTTTCATTATATTTGTTTGTATCATACCACGCCATTATTCAGGCGGAGTTAGAATGGTACTGCATAAGCCGGATGCCATTCATTACTAATGTGAAGGAGTACTAGAATTCGAAATCGAGTAAAGGATCGTCGACAAAGATGAAGAATGTAGATAGAACATGACCTTTAAAATATTTTGTGGCAAATATCGATATATTCACCTATGACGATAGTTGATATGTTTAGATTAATCAAGTCTATACAGTATAAAGTCTACCGATCTGTGACAAACATATGTTAAGCCCATATATTTAGATATTCACGAATTAGTTCGACAGAATTAGAGATATCACCGTCCACATCGGAATCTAAGCATGTCGGTGATGCTATAGCCGATCAGTAAGTCACCGACATCATCTAGTGAACTTTTTCAGCTTTGAGAGGTTGTACAAGATTTTGCAGTACATATCCTCGGCCATTACTGACTTAAATAGTAATGTTAGGCAGTTACTATCTAAATCTAACGAACGCGAACAACCGCATCAATTCGATTGCGGACTCTCCAGCCAGCAGTTCCCTTTGTCATCTGAAGAGGAACTGCAGATGCTGGACACTGGTTTGCAGCATCAAGAAACCAAGGACCGATTTGTAAGTCATCAACATTAATTTAATCATTTGTTCCTATTACAGGTGGCAATGGTTACGAGGTTATCAAGTGACGATCCAAAAACATCAATGCGGTATGTTCTGTCGCATCTCTTGACACTTGAGTTTGCCGGTACATTCACGTTACTTGCACCTCTTCAAATCGAGCACTTCAGAAATGCAGGTTTTACGGCTGCATACGAACTAACTCATATTTATTATTTAAACTTCAGGTGCCTTAACAAATCGCTTTCTGTCATCCGCTGTCTACGAAAAAGACCTTGGTAAGCTGTACGACATGGCGACACAAAGTTACTTTCACGACATCCGAGACAAAATGATAAAGCGTAATAGAAGGAAACAAGATCAGGTATGTACTAATTTAATGTGATAACATCCTTACAGCTCTATAGTTACAGTCAACAGTATTAACGAACATAACCGTAAGTTCAGCTTCAAGTATTTTGTTGTGCCAAAGCATGTCATTCAGATATGGTTGTGACTTTTTTGTTTTTTTAATTCAGAATTCACGGGACGACTATCGCAATTCCCAATAGCCAAACTAACGTGGCTGAAGGGAATAGTCCGTGCAGATCTTTTTCTCTTCTACCTCATTTTTAATAAACGATTTTTTGTAAAAGAGCTTACTTTATTACTTACATGGGAAACTATAGAAGTGTTGAGAATGTGTGTTTGAGTGTCAGTGAACTTTTGAATAAATGCACATTCCTAATAAATAATACATTACCTGTTCTTTCTTTTGCAGATAATTTCAAATAACAATTGCAATGGACATGCAAAACAATCGATGCTGAAGCTTCTGCTCTACTCTTGTACAATAATTCGCTTTTACTTTTAAATAAAATTTTTTTAATATACCGGTTTTCCAGTGAACTGCGGTTTTATTTTGGTCTGTTGTTGAAAATAAAGGCGAACACAGGAGACCTTTTGGGTTATGTCAAGGGATAGAAAATATGGAATTCTGTGTTTATTTAGGCGAAAAGTAGACAATTCAGCGGAAATTTAGACGAAAATTAGACAATTCGGTGGATATTTAGGCGAAAAGTGGGCAATTTATCGACAAAGCGGCAAAAAGGGGGAAATCCGCAGTATTTCCCCCCGGACAGGCGAAAAAGGCGACACTGATGCGTTTCCCCCTTTATTTCCTCTTTCTCTTCCAAAGCATTTACCTCTTTATTTCCCATTTGTTCGCCTTAATTTCTTCTTTTTTGGTTGTTTGGGATAATAACTGACACTACACTGTATGGTCACTTTTGCTTTGAGGTGGCACATAATCGATGTTTGCAACCTCATCCTCATAATAATAATTCGGAGTCCTCTTCGTAACTAGTTATCTTTTTTATGTGTTGCACTAGGGTGCATGTAATGACTACGTCAAACAGTTTTTGTCCAGAACAATGTCTTGTCAACTCAGTCCTTAGACATTTCCAGTATATCGTAGGTGCATTTAAGTTTATATACTGCCAAAATAATCTGCAAACATTAGTTTGTAGTGTGGCGTCGAGTCGCGGTTAACTATGATCACCACTATAGGAAGACTACGTGCCAGTTGATCGATAAGATTCTCCGTAGGTCAAATATCAGAAGGCAGTTGATGGCTGTAATCAAGATTCATTTGTTGGCGATCTCGTGGTACCGGAAGAATACCGAGATCGTGCCAAAGGAGTACAAGTGTGGCTACTGAGCGTAACGGAATCCGTGCAAGGTCACAATCAACGGAAGAATGCATATGTTTTGGTACAGTTAAACAAACAAGTATGGTAAAAAATCCCTGGTACAATTGGTTATAATAATAGTTGTTTCCATTACATCAATCGTGTTCCTTTGATAAAAGTAGGTCACCGCAAGATTTCACTACTTCTCTCGCCCCTAACGAATGCTTTTACCTATAGGCTTTCGATCGTATTTCTCTATAACCTACATAAATGCACATCTCTATATAAATAGTTTAGTAGTTTCCGTATTCATTTAATCCTAATACATAAATACCTTCCTTCTTGTTTATTTTATGGGTGTCGTAACCGAAGGATATGAATAACAGAATTATGCGGTTTTGGTTATGCAACAAAATCTCTTATTCCTAAGTGAATTATCATTCCACGATTTCGCAAATAAGATAATGTTTTTAAATCTTCAACAAGATTATAAAAAAACAAACTTTTTTGACAAAACTTCATCGTTATAAAATTCTGTTGCTGTAATTTTGACAATTGATTACTGTCAAATGGTTCATTTTAACGCATCATTCGTTTGAATGGTTGGACTCGAATTCAGACTTTCCCGTCAGTTTGTAAGATAAATTTGACTGGATGCTCTGGGAAGAGTTAAACAATTAGCTCGAACTTTCCAAAATAGAGCTTTTGACGGTCACATGGCTCATCCAGGGAAAGGACTCTAAGCATCAAAATCATCGAACACTACTTCGTGTACCACTCGCTAAAGCTACCGACGTTGAGGATATCCTACATGCTAGTTTTTTACTGAAAGCAGATGGGAATGTAAGACGACTGCCTGATGTGCCGTGTTCTGAGCGCAATCTCATCCTCAACATCTTTATGGAGTCCTTAATATGAGACGGTATATAAGACTATTTATTACCCTTAAACTTTTCAGCCCAACAGCATGATTTCAGGAGGGGTCATTTTCGTATAACCGACCTGCTGGGTCCGGTGGACAGATGGACAACTATCACTGATCGCAAGGGAAAGGCTGATGTCGTATACCTTGACCCCTCAAAGCTTTTTGATAGGGTCAACCATATATGTCTTATTAATAAGCTCATACTTTTAGGTATCAAGTCACATTAATTGATTGACTCACCTCATATATAAAAAAATCGACATTTTAAGGTCAGAGTTAACTTCACTTGCTCCCAGGCTATGGAAATCCGTAGTGGATTCCCGCAGGGTTTATTAATAGGACCTCTTCTTTTCTTAATTTATATAAGCTATATTCTATAGCAAGCATCATCAGACTTGTTTTCGCGGATAATGTGAAACTCTGGAGAGAGCTACGCAACCAAGGGAATATACTGGCAATTCAAGAGGATCTGACTCAACTTCAAAGTTGGGCAGACGACATTGGACTGACTTTTAACACCTCAAAGTGTAAATTAGTCCATCTGAGATATGTTGAAGACTACATCTACAACTTAGGCAACTCCCCTCTAAGAATATCTTGAGTTGAAAAAGATTTAGGAGTCTTGATACCCTATGATTTGAAGTCTTGCGCACTGTGACAAAAATGCCTTTCGAGCAAACCTTGCACTGGTAACATTGAAGCGCATTTCGGGCCAGTTTGACAAAAGAACTTTCCACATAATCTTCAACAGTTTTATTCGTCCCCATTTAGAGTACAAAAACATAGTATTTCTTCCCTTACTCCTAAAGAATAAGGACACTCTAGAAAGTGTCCAACGGTTAGCCACCGAATCAGTTTGGAGATTCAAATTCAAGCCTTATGAAGAGCGCCTCATATCACCAAACGTTTTCCCATTAAAGAACAGGCGTTTTAAATGTGATCTGATAACTCGCAGCATCTTTGACTCCCTTGGACTTCTTCCTAAACACTTAATTAAGTTTATTTCCGATACGAACCTAATCGTTAACACTATAGTGAAATGTATATTGAGTAATTTTTTGTTACGACAAAATAAAAACCACCACAACACTCAGAAACTGAAGAAACGACTGAGCAGAATGGACTGTGTACACAGCGTCTATTTCTCAAGGGTAATCATGCGCTGGAATTATCCACCGGTTGAGCTAGTCCAAGTGAGTTCCCAGGAGTCCTTTAAGAGAAAGTTCGACATTTCCTTGAGGACTGGGGATAGTATCTTACTGTGATTTACCATGTTCCAGGTCCCTACCTGGAGGTGTAGGTTACCCACTGATACTGGACACGAAATCCCGTTAAGCCGAAGCTTCTTTTCCGTCCAAAACCTTTTGAACCATATGAATATATATATACTAAGCCCAATGTTTGTTCAATTTTAAATACATATACTCCCAACTGTTAGAATCTAAGACTTACGTTTACTGTATACAAAAAATGAATTGGAGAAATTCTCATATTTTATACTTAGTCTCTTTATTCTTCTTGTTTTACTGGACCCGGAGTTCGGTTTCTGTTTCACATTACACCTGGTTGTGGGATGTCGTCGATCGTGTATTTCAAGTTCAAAGCAAATGTAAAAACAGACTCTGTTTCGTTCGATGGATCTTCTATTTCTGTGAAAGATCTTAAAAATGCCATTCGAACAAAGTGTTGTTTGTATTCGACTGATTTTGATCTCAAACTAGAAGACACTAATGGGAAAGGTATCTAGGTTTTATTATTCAACTTCGTTTAGTCTATTCCAAAGATGATGAATTGATTCCGAAGTACTCAAGTATTGTGGTGCGACGTGTCCCACGTTTAGTTGCAGAAATTCAAAAAAAGAAACAAATGTAAGTACATTGGCTATGTGGTTAATCGATAACCTATTACAGGGGTCCAGATGATGTAACGTGGAGAGAGTTGCAAAAGAATGTAAGTTGTTTTTCTATGAACAATTTCTGTCGTTCTGGTCATAACAGTATGGGGTTGATCGCTGACTTACTGGTTCCTAGAAAGTTTGTGTTGTCATAGATATTTTCATACTGCTGTGTAGGTATCCTTGCGAGTCTTATCACTGGTAAAATATATTTTACTTTGGTTGACTAAGGTTTTGATCATAAGAATTTTCAAGGTACTCTCAGATATTCCAGTTTAAAAACTTGTCGGTAATCTGGAAGGTTAATTAACTGTTGTGTTAAATGTGTCAGTATAAATTAGGTTCCCTCTACCTTCTATTTTTTGGTTTGAAGTGAAGTCATTAGGTATTAGCCAACCTTATCTGACTTGAATACAGTTTGTGCGGCACCAGTCTAACTTTCCAGTCACAAAGTGTCCTGAGATCATTGTAACTAACTGAAAAATCTATCTTAATTAGTAGTGGGTTTCATACACCAGTCTGGGTGCCAACTGTTAGGAGGTTGGAGTGTTGACTTTCGATGGAGTCAATTTGTTCGATTTTGTTTACGAAATTACGGACTATTAACACTGATTTATCTGTATGCAGCCCATGTAATGTTATTTTCAAATAAAATATTGCTATTATCATTGTTATTGTTGTATTGTAACGTTTTGCAGTTAGAAGTTCACGGATCTTCATGTAATGTTTTTTGCAGTCAATCAAACTCGAATTTCTCATAGTTAATCAAATAGGTCTCGAAAAGTCTTGTGAAAATCTCATTCTTCGCTACTTCATTAATTTCTGTTTTGTGTTTCAGCAAACCACAAAATTGTTACTAGATGTCCTGTGTTTTGTAATACGGATATTTCTTCTCGCTCTACGGCAGCTTAGGTCAACGCACATGTGTACTATGCTCTATGTTGGTACTGACTGATAGTTATGTGCATCCAGGGTTATGTACTAGTGTGAATTTAAAATGCTTGTTATCTTGTGGATATCATCATAACACTACCGGACGATTACTTGTTCGTAGTGTATCAATTTTTAATCGTTTAGAATTGCTTCTTAAAACTGACCCACTGACGCATAGCTTTTGTCGCACTCTGCGTTACATTTTAACTTTTTAAATAGCCATTGCAGAGTTTCTCTGTCCTCAACTCTCGTATGTACTTGCTGTTCGTCATATCCCTAAACTTATTCTCTAAGTAACTTTTCTATTACATGGTTTGATATCTACTGGATGATTCATTTTGACTTATGTGATCCAAAATTTAGTATATTGCGTCACTTTCTAAATAAACAAACCTTTAATTGGTATAACTAAAATTAGTCAAGTCTATTACACGTTATCTCAGTATACACGTACGTATCTTATTCCATTGTTTATATTTTACTTAGGTTTCACTACCGAATTAAAGAAATAAGTCTGTTTAGTTGGTGAACGTAGTCAATTTTGTGGTTGTTTGTAGACCAGTGTATTAGATCATGCTCATAAAATAATTGTGGGGCTTATGTTAATAAGCTTCACCACGGTTTCACCTGCTCATACGATTAATCCATTTACTGTAATTGATATGTCGATCAATTACATGGGATTCGGAATAAAGCTAGATTGATATTTTAAATGGTATATCAATGGTATATCCGGTTAGCCTGAGCTATGCGATCGAACTGGTGAGGGGAAATCTAAGTAATAAGATAAATGTCAGAATAGAATTAGAAATTTGAATGCGTTAGGGTTTAACTTTCCACCACAAACTGATCAACTATAATTTGGCCGTCCTAAAATAATATTCTTATCCTAATTGCTTGCATCATTAGTTCATTTATCCTTGACGTCTTTTTATTGACTGGAGCGATCGACATTTCAAGGTCTTTCAGTTGTATTCAGGTTCGCCTCATAAGCATAAAATCCAAAGGATGATTTGCTGTTATCAAGGCTGATATTTTTCAGCTGTCGAGATTCCGCATTTCTTTAATAGGTCTTTATTTTTTTTAAACACAAACATTTGTACAAGGAGGCCTCATCTAGATATGCGCCACATAAATCATTCGATTTGTGTGAGGACTTGGATACTGCCCACGTGCCCAGATCGAAGCAGGTCTTTATGTAGAACAAAATAGTTTTCGTTCTCCCGAGTTATTTATTACAACTGATGTATTATGCTACAACATTAGATCTAAAGTCGCTGGTTCGGCATAGACGTTTTCCAATCCAAATAGCAGACGAGCGGGTAGACAACAAAGAAGGGGCTGTACTGTACAACGAAACTTTGTCTTTACCGTCTGTAGGAAGGAACAAAGTGCATCACAGATGCCTACTAGAAAATTATTGTGTGCGTTATAAACTTTGAATAGTCAGTATTACCATTCGGCATAACATGGGACACAAGAAAATCCAATGGACAAGATCATGAGATTGTATGGACTGATATACTTTAATCATCCTTACATTTAGATAAAACTGCGACATAAGCGGACACGCAGTGTTACCTGGATTTAATTAAATGGACCATGTATTAGTCTGACCAAACTTAAACGTAATATGTACACGGTCAGTGTCAGTCTGTGCAATGCAGTTGAGTATAACTTCCCGCCTTAAAACTCACTTGACGATCTAAGACTAACTGGCCAATATGGTATTGTGAGCCTGTTCACTCTAGGTTTCAAGTCCCGTTGTGGAAAATGTAACTGATATGCAAGTCACATTCGTAGCCCTTCATATCTACAGTCAGAAATCTAAGTTGTAAAAGATTAGGAAAAACCTAATCCCAACTGGAGGGTAGATAATGGAACATCATTAACTTAATTTACTAAAGTGAAGTATGTTTGAAGTTAATTACGGACTTCCGGATATTTTATTAATTCTTAGTAATCTGGTGGAGTAATACTTTGTACACAAGATAACTAACAAGGACGAAAATCAGTATCCTGTGGTAGCTAACTAAAAAGTTTGGTCTTACCGCAGTTCCGACTTACGATGCTTATCTTCCGTAGTAGTAGTAGTAGCGACCTTTGTATCTGATTAAAACACTAACTGAGCAACTAATCTTTATCTGCTTTCAGTTAATAAATTAGTATATCAGGCACGCAGTGGGACTAGGAAACGCGAGGAAGGTCGGCGTTCATGAAAAGCCTGACTGGCTAGTGCTAACCTGGACCGTCTTTGTAATAATATGACTTTAAAAATCTGAATATATAGCTCATCTTCGGCAGCAGTTCCGTCACTTCCCTTATAAAACCTGGCCCGTTTGAGTTTATAATTTCTGGAGACTGGTCGTAGTTATCTCCGAACGATTACTCTCGCCGGGTAAGTGTAAGGAATATGAGGGTTATCTATATGTGATTAGCCGTAGTGATGGTGGTTTAATTCATGCCACCATTGTGATGCACTAGATTCAGTGCCCTGAACCTGTTTTAGAAATGTCGCAATGGCGTCCATTTTGCCTGTGATTTACCTGTGCTGGAACAAGAAGTTGTTTGCATGGCGTCAAAACATGACCGACATCAAGACCCGGCGCCTGATCACCTCTTCTAGGTTCGAGATGTATAAGTCGTGCGACTCAACAGCTTGAGGTACGCGCAGGCATGGTCCGTAGTGGAAATAAGCTGTCTACTGTAATTTCTCACTACATTGATAGAAATAAAATGAAGGCTAACCATAATGATCGTAATTCTGATTAGACCTTGATTAAATACTTTTTCGTGTATTTATTTTCATCGCAATCTCTCACTACATGTCACTTTGTGAGGCTCATTACTTTTATGCCTTGTTGTACCATAATCCTTGTCATAAATAAATAAATCAGAATTCTTATATTACTCGTCGAGGAGTAATGCCACTAGACCTTGTAACTATCAGTCGCTACCACATTTAATAAAAACTCACTTCGTCTAAATAGTTTAATGTAATTGTAGTTCCAAGATGACTTCAATTTTCACTGAGTAATGGAATAACGATATATGTCTGAGCTGTTACAAAGAAATTAATTAGCCTTAATCTGTAACTGCGTGGTATTAAATAATGCCCTTCAGCTTAGTTAACTTTACGCATGCCCTACTACATTTTACTGATGTTAGTGGAGAATAACCGAGCTAGTATTTGTATTGTAGTGTTACAAAGGAGTTACCTTTTTCACAAGTGCTACAATTTGATTTACCAATGTAGGCATAGCAAGATTATCGATGGACATTTTATGGGATCATTTTGTTGGAAGCCAATAATATTCCCTTGGTTGAGCCGTAGATAATGGCTCTATTAGGACCTAGCTGCTGAGCGTTTTGTTAATTATCCTGACCTATAGCGTCTAATATTCAACAAATTTTGGACTAGATTCTTTAAATTTGGGTAGTATCCATAAATACAAAAAGTCAGTAAACTTGGCAGTCAGTCAATCATAATCACCTTCAGCCTGAGTCGTCATAACAATCGTCTGGGATGGCATTAGCAGGATAAATATCAAGAGTAAGGTAATAGTAACATCATTAATTGTTAGAAACGTATACAGAGTACTGTTGGGAAAGAGTTGGTTCGAGAAATAAAAATGCACGACGCAGTACATAAGCTGAATACTTGACAGAAATCGATACCTTGCACCTCTGATAGGTTCTTAGTTGTGTCGTGTAGCGTCTTCGTCATGAACAAGGGTATTTTTATTGGTGTTAGAGGTCTGAGGGCAGCTGTCATTTCTAGAGGAAACTGGATTATTGTTGAGCGTACCGACCTAAGGGTATGATTGAAGAGCCAAAGAGACAACTGCTTAAAGCATTCGGCCTTTGTGGAAACTTTGTAATATGTCGGCCTCGTATCTCAGAAGGGCTTACCGACGTAAACAGTCTGTGGGATGAGGTGAAGTGTTACACCTTTAAGTCCAACCTCTAGTCCCTTAGTTTGTGGGCGGACCTCATTGCAGATACCAGTTGTTTGAGGGGAACGCCCTATTGCTGTTAAACCTCACTATAATGAACAGTACGAGCTCGCTGTCGGACCATAAATTTTCTGCTTTAGGTCTTATCGTCCTCCAACAGACCTGCATGGTATGGCAGATTCTGAAGAAACAAGTATTTCAATCAGTATTGCTCGACTGGATCATCGCGAACGGTGAACTCGATCACCATAGGAAAGTAGCAGTTATGGTCGGGAGGAGTCTATTAAACTACAGTTCGCTCCGTTATACTGAGTAGTTGAAAACGTGAACTTTAAAAATAGGGGATGTTGTTAGTTTACTAGTATTCGATCATCGGTGTCTACAAAACATCATTCGTGTATTTTGGAACCTTCAAATTAGCAGTTCTGAGGTTAAATGTAGTGTACCAACCAAGTGTGACACTTAGGACGTAGTGAATCTTCATCGGCTACTATGGTTAGATGTATTCGTATGCTCATCCACTGATTACATTGAGGCTGCCGCTACCTTGACGTTATGGTCGGGCTTTTCTATCGTGATGAACCGATTGATCTATACTGATTGGAACAATTGTTCCTCAAGGTCACACCATTCTAGGCACGTCGGTTGAAGAGCGGTAAGACTAAAGCCAACAAACCCTAGGTCCGAAAGTGAAGTCGCACTGCTGACCGTACAGAAATGTAACTGCAACCAGCATGACGGCGATGAGCCTTCCCGCAAGAGAAGGGTGTGTTTAAAAAAAAAGTCGACCCTGAAATTGCACACTTCGCCTCATCCCACGGATGTCCGTCTCTGGCATTAGTGTCTCAACAAATACAGTGCTAACACAAAAAGGTCACGTGTGATCGCCTTAAGCAGTTATCCCTTGGACACTCAGGTCACTAAGACCAACTCTAGACCAGTTTCTTTTTCAGGTACCTTTAGAGGGACCCTCCTACAATATGGGCAACCGGGGATTGCCAAGCACCCTCATATCTCTAACAGCATTAATGATTGATGATGGCTGGTTTAGGAGTAGACTGGAAATATTAGAATGATCAAACCAAATATGACGTCAGTCCGTAAAGAAACTAACTTTTGGATTGAGACATACAAGAAGATAGTGGTGATTGTGTGGACCGCAACCATCTTGTCTGTATTTACCGACACGGTTCAGTCCAAGTTTTCTCCAAGCTTCCTACTCCTCACTCAACATAGCGTTTCAAGGTATGAGTTAGTTGCAGTACGTTATACACATTCTGGCCACATCAGTTTGTTGAAGGTTCACTATTTTTCAATAGTTTTGGGACATTTGACTTGTACTGCACGCCTGATTTCGGTCAGTACCGAGTTTCTAAGATAAGTTTTATGAGCAGAAACTAAGTGGATGTAAGTATATGGATTACAATTGTTAATAGTTCATCTTGTCGGTTTATTCCATTCTCATTACCCCATTTTCCCATGTTGAAGCAAGATGTATATTACAGTAATAGCATTCCTTGTTTGCATGTAGCGTATGTATATCAGTTTCCCAATTCCTTGTGGTCTTGACAAGACGAGCAAAATGAATATCCCGAAATCCAGATGTACTCAAGTCTTAAATATTGTCAAGTAAATAGATATTGTATATGATATGCCATCCAAAAAGTGCCTGAAGTAAATTCACCACATTCAGTCCGTATTCGGCTTTTCGTTTTTTCCGTTGCACAACCGAGGTTAATCTAGGTGTAATATGTGGAGTTAAGTGAGATTTATATTGATGGCACATTCATACATTCTTTCAGATCGGAGTCAGATCAACGGGTAAAAAAACTGGGAAGGAGGTCTCTCTAGAAGCCAAATACGCGTTGAATTGTATGGGTTTGTTTCAGACATTCGTTTATTTAGACAAACATTATGAATGAGAAACGGGTAAGTGAAGCGGGGTTGTCAAGTGTGTCAATTCAATTTGGCGAAGCGTGACTCAGTATTTATGGCCAGACAAAAATAGTCTGAAGGCATGTGATGATTAGGACAAGCGATACACATACTCTCATAAAAACAGTCAAGGTTAATACAGGAATAACTGACGAGATCAAAATGTGGCTCCATAAGGATAAATAAATTGATCTGTCTGGAAGCTAGAATAACCCGTGTGTGATTGGCATAGTACTAGACCTTATAATGTAAGTCGTTTGAACTGTGTGTGATCGTGGCCGGTGGGATCGTAGATGAGCTAAAAAATGAGCTTGTGTAGAAAAATTTGTTCTAATCCCTAGCTTAACAGTTTTTTCACATTTGTTGGAATTAATATTTCTTTTTGTTTTACAGCATACTGCCGCATCCGAATCATCACATGGTTCTAAAGTATGTTTCCATAATCATGCTTATCTTTTTAGCTTATCAATTTAGCGGATTCTGACCTTTCTGAAGAAGAGAAAATCAAACTAATGATGGAGAGATCCTCAGAGACTTACTCAGAGACCAAGTAATCAATTGTATTTTACTGAACTCTTTGCTTTAGTTTTGCTGTACGAGCCAAGCCATATGGGGTCCCTCCGGCTGCTTATGTTTGTCACAAATGTAATCAGCCAGGACATTGGATTCACAATTGTCCTGGGGTACGTGATAAGACCGGGAAAGTAATGGATGCCAAGTCAATCAAAAGGCCGACAGGTATTCCACAGGACTTTCTTCTGGAAGTTGCAGCTGGAACTCCAGGTGCATATTTAGGAAAATCCGGGAAGTACATGGTGCCTATTAAAGACGCGTAAATCAGTTGTTTTTGTAATGAAAATCTATTTCAGTGAGGCATATGCCCAGGGCAAAAAAGATAAAAGGCCGTTTTCTGTTGAAGAAAACCCTCCATACGTTCCTCAGGAAAGAAATCCTCCGAAGCAACTTGTGTGTCCGTTGTGTAATAAGCTATTCAGCGATGCAGTTTTAGTATCCTGTTGTGGAACAACCTATTGTAACGAGTGCATCATGGGTCATGTTTTTGATTCTCAAGTTTTGGGTTCCCATAAGTGTCCTAACTGTGATGCGGTGCTGACAGACCATGAGTCAAGTGTCTTTGAAAATGCTCTTGTGCGAAGTTTGATTCGTGACTGGCTTGCCGATGAATCTAAAATAGTGGATCCAGAAGTAGTTATCCCTGGAGATATATCAAAGTTCAGTGAAAACGATACGGTAAGATATTTTAATTTTAACCTTTCCCTACTTTTAGACATTCGTTAACTGTCGCCGCGTTCTGAAACCAAAACAAGCAACGGCCAACATCCCTACACTCAAACTTGGAAGTACAACTGCAGTGGAATCAAATCAAGTTCAGAAGATGCAACCAATTGTTTCAGAATCTAATTCTATTGTTAAAAATGAACATACTGATTTACTTTTGAACTTACCCTCTGAAACACCCCAGAGCACAAACTCTGTGACATTTTCTACTCTTTCATCTTTTGATTATGTTCGTGTTTCTGAAATGACTACTTCTGTTGTAACGAACAATACAAATGCTACTGTGGTCACAAGTTCTCCTTGTACCACTATGGTGGGAAATAACAGACAGAATCTGTTACCCACCACTTGTCTTTCAAACACACAAATTCCTTGTTTGAGTTATACTAGTTCTACTGCTGTAATGCCTACTTTACTCCCAGGTGTTAATGGTGGTGGTAATCCCCTTCTTAATGCGCTTTATAGTATACGGTTAGATGACTTACAGGCTCCATTGGTTGCTCCCTCTACTATTTTGCCAGCCACTTACGGATCGCTTGTTGGCGATCCTGAGTGGACAGCTGAGACAGCTTTGGCTGCGTCAGCAGCTCAGAGTGCAGGTCTAGTTGATCCAGTAATACAAGTCAATAATAATCAGGTCGCCTTCGGGCTAGTCCCTGGGCAGTCTATCCCTGGCACGATGCCCACAGCTTTATCCGCACCTGTTGAAACACTAAATGGACACAAAATGCTTTCAAAAGAAGAGTTCTATCGGTTGAAAATGGAAGTTCTCCATTCAGCTCGTAGAAGGTAAACCAATTTAAATCTACTCAAATGCGATCGTTTATTTATTTAGGTTGTCATGCCGTCCTCTTTCTTTAACAGTTGAATCTCTTGACTTCAGGCATCACCAGATCCGTTCATATCATGGGTTTTTGTAGCAAAGTATTCATTTTATAGGTAATCGAAGTACCGATCTTCTGAAAGAATGTATAATTTAATTCATTATGTCTCAAATACCAAGTGTAGACTGAGGAGTTTCTATCGTTTCTTGAACTTAACCTTAAGTAATTAATCTATTCGAAAGATTTATTTGCGTTTCAGTATGGAAGTAGTTCGTAATCATTCACAATTTAGGATAGTGAATATTCTGGGTAGAAATACTGCCCCATGAAAAGACAACTACGTGGTTCAGCTGTCTTTTGTTTGTTTGACCTTAATTTACCTCCAAGTCTGCGCTAGGCTCAAAATAAGGTCTTTCACACCCGAAGTAAATGCATGTATTAGCAGTTATATGAAAATGTAAAGGTCACACGTTCATGGTTGTGAATCCTCATCAAATTGAAGTTTACTTTTTGGGGCTTTATTGAGGCTCTACCTTTTACGTTCAGCGTAGATAGTATTCAAGCTAAGTGTTTTGACTTTTTGAAGCGTCTGTTAGTGTTTAATATATACTTTCATATTTCATTTGAATGTTGCTCAGTTTTGTCTGTACGACCGTATGTATTGGCTGTTGTTCATTTGTTTGCCTTTGTTTCCATTTCTCCAGTAATATGTATATATGTAAATGCTGTTATCTTGTTTTATTATGGTGTGCATTCCACTACATTCAACGGGTCCACCTAACAGCATGGTTGCCTTTTCTCTGCGTTATTCAGTATCTTATTAAAAAATTTGATTTATAGGCATCGTCACCGCACCCATTCACGTAGTCCTGGTTATGTACATCGAGCCGAACGAATTTATGGAGATTCTTCGCACCATCGACGTGGTTATGATAGAGAAGAGCGAGAGAAACGACCTCGACACTATTCACCTGTTAATTACGAGAGTGAACGTAGTCGTTGCCGACACCGTTACGCTGATGAATATGAATCTCATCGTGACAGAAGTGGGACTCACCGTCATCACTACCGCCCTACTTTCTTTCAAGATCTTGACGACCGGAGACGTCATTATTCACGAGGCCATCCGCACAGTCCCGAACACCGGTACAGGCGATCACCAAGACAGTCACCATCAAGTAAAGATGATTGGTATGGGTACAAAGGTCGGAGATGTAGCCTTTCTCCCATCACACATGAACCCTCGGATCCACGCAGATGTCGGGAACCACATGTTGGTAGTGGACATTATGATGAATTTCTCGGTAGACGTAAAAGAAGGTAAGTCACGTTTTACGTTTTCCTAGATTGGTCATTCAAGGTCTCTAACCATCTGTTGCTATCATATCGCGGTCCCAAACCAGGTAGTCTACGCCTACCAACATGGTTCAGTTCACTTGTCAGTGACTTCATGGACTTGTGCCATGTTTTGGTCTGGCCGCCCCTAGCTTTCTTCCAATTTACTCCTATACCATTGAACATCGTCAGTTGAGACAGTCGGAGAAATTTAAACCAAAACGTAACATCAGTTCATGGGACCATAGACTGCTGGACTGATTTATGCAGGTTGATGTACGTTACTTGATTGGGGTCCGCATGTTGTTAGGACCTTTTAGTGAAATGGCTCGAAATCGTTCACAATGATGCAGGTGCATCCACCCTTAATCTTCCTTTAGTCTCTGAGTCTCAAAATCTCGTCTTTCTCGTTTCTTTAGTTTTACACCTAATCTTTTCTACTACTACCGATATTGTTCCTGCATCTACTATTATGAAAATTTGTCTTAATAATTTTATCGCTGTGATAATTTGATGTCGCAGCTTAAGCCAATTTTCGTGTGTGAGTTTCTACGCTACTGATGATCACTGCCGGGAAGTAAAAACTACGTTTGTACCTTTGACACCACCCGAGATCACCTTTTCCACTCCCGTAATTAACCCACAAGTATTTGCAGAGTAATGGTATAGCGTTTAAAGCGTCCGACTCTCCGCCGTCAAGTCTAAGATTCTATCCGGGCTCCAACTATTTCTTTTTGAACGACAGGATTATATCATTAACACTTAGAATTTAAGCACGACTCATACCTAAGAATCTAGTGAGCAAGCTAGCTTTTTTATTTTATCGTCGGCCATCATCCTTGCTAATGATTCAAGTCCACGAAAAGTCATTCCTGGTTTCCTGAAACCGATCTCTAAGCTACATTTTAAAACTCAATGTTCTAACTTCGTGTCAAATCGAAAAAGTTTTGTTTAGTTAGTACTGGGATTTCGTGCTTGTAACATATGCCCTGTCTCCCTTACCAATCAGAATTCTAGTTCTAATTCCGTTTACTCTGTCTACTATTTCTTGTATAGCATTATGTCCCAGAATTGAGCATTGTACTCCTGATCAGTATCGTTGACCCTATGTCGACACAGCCAAGCTCCTATTAGTCTGCTGTTTGCAAGCTTTTCTCTGAGTCCAAAGAGTCAACAGCCTACTTCTATTATTGCATTTTAAAGATACGTAGGTTTATATACAATTTTGCATAAACGAGCTGAAAGCGTCTGTGAACAGAGCAACCTGGGAAATATAGATTGACATTAAGACAGGATTAATAAGTAGCATACTGATAGTTGGTTAAACGCAAGCTTACATAGCAATCCAGTTACTTATTGATTCTACATCAATAAATTAAATATTAAAAATCCGAAAACCAATTCAAGCTTTTACGATACTCATTCCGTTATGACATAAAGAAAGACATGATCGACCTAACGACAAACCACCAATCATCATGAAAGAGACTCACTCATTTTGAAGCAGATATTTAGTTTCTGATTATTCTCTAGTTACTCATTGTCTGTAAACAACCTGGATAGAAAATTAACACAAGTCCTCCACACTTTTTGAGGTTGAGTAGACCAAAGCTAGGGAGAGCAGCTGTTCCTGATGGATAACCCGTCTGATCGTTAAAAACAATTATCTTGTATTAGCAGTTAAGTTGGGTAAGATACTAGCTAGTATTTGGGAACTTCGCATCTGACTGATCTCGGAGGTTGATCATTCCAATTTTTAAAGCAACACTTCAATCTGTTGGTCAAGAGATTCTGTGGCAATGTCTGTCATCGAAAGTTATACCAAAGAAGTGCGTCTACCTTGAACAGGCTCTCTATTCGTTGCCGGCTTCATTTATCTTGATATTCTCATCAGTCCTGCTAGATCTCGTCATCAGTTAGGAGAACTCGATTGGGCTTTGCCAATTCGTATCACTTGTGACGTATATGAGATGTCCATCTAACAAATAAAGGGTTTGGATACCGTTCAATATTGCACTCTGTTCTACTTTGTGGGTGTGAAACACCGCCATTGTAATAGAGAATATTCGTTGATTACTAGTATTCGACCATAAATATTTTTTTAGGAGTTTCGTTGTGTTAGCTGAACGATTTTGTTGTGGAGCTTTGACTGTTCTTCTGAATAACGTCATCTCCACGACCAAACCATTTAGCTTAGAGGACGGAACAACCAAAATTATCCACCTGAGCAACAAACCTTCACCGTCTCAAAAATTATTGGTGTCTTTGATGCATTGCTCGTGTATTTTGGGACCAACGATCAGGAAGTGTTTGGGTTCGAAAATGGAGACTGAGTGAAGAAGGAAAATCGATCGATGACCTAGTCAATCTGAATTGACTGAAATTGTTATAACGTCCATTACGTATGCCTGATTACTGTTTAATCCCTCATCTTTTCTGTCTCTTATGGCGGTGGACTTGATGATGCAAAACTCCACATCTGGGCAGAGGTACAGAATGAAATGGACAGGTTTTGGACTTCGCTGATGACCTAATACTAGCTGAATCTTGGAGGACCAGTACGACCATAATCGAGAACGTACAAGTATTTGCAGACAAATATCTACATGAGATGCTCCAGATCCGTTGGCCGGATAACATCAGCGACCACCTACTGTGAGAGAGAACAAACCAGCTTCGAACTGAAGAGTAAATTAGAAAATGACGTTGTAAGTGGATAGGACATACATTGAGGGAATCATCAAAGTGATTCACGACGCAAGCCCAAACTTGTAATGTTGAAGGGAAAATGAGAATTGAAAGACTACTTAACACATTCATCGGCAATGGTAGGTAGACATGAGTAGGATGAATAGCAGCTGGAGAGGAGATCCCATGAGCGAGTTTGATGGAGAATGCTGGTTGGTGGTCTATGGTTGTGGACGAGTGATAGGTGTAAGTAGGTATAAGATAGAAGAGGTTGGTCATATGCGAACTCCAAATCATCTAGTTGCATTCAAGCTGTTCATTGTATTTCATACTTTTCCGAACCCTAACCTCAATGTTTAGTTTCTTACATCGTTCCGGTTTCTTACTATACGTCTTGTTTATTTCACATTGTCGTGTTAGTTCTGTATAACAAAGTTGTGCAAGCTCATATGTTTTGGGTTCTACCTTGGAGATGACGCACTAACAGTAATTTAGAGTTTGCTTTGTTTTACAGTATTTTCCAACCTCCACCATAAATCCCTTGAGATAATAAATTACTCTGAAAATTTAGCTTCCTATAAGCAGTGAGAACCATCACAGTATATCAGTCTTGTGTCTTCATTCAACCTCTCTTGTAGAGAATATATCTCTGATAGCGCTATTTAGTGGTATATCTGTGTTGATGTGTGTTAACTATTTCTTAATACTGCGAAAACTTGATATGAGTTGTCCACTTTCCCTCATTATAAGGGATCAGATATAGACTGTATTTGATTTCTTTTTTCTGTTCACGTTGAACTGGGTAAAGTCTTATGTTACAGAAGTTTTAACAAAGCTTTGGGATCATAAAGTTTCACTCAACTTTCCTGGGCATGATATACCGATGATATGTAACCAGTTATTCATCTTATGGATTAAAATACTGTTTCTTATCAGACCGATTACTTTATGTTTAGGACATTCGACGTTCAACTAACTGCTTGGGCGTTCAGACTTCAATCTACATACTTTGTTTTAAATATCTCATTTACAATATTATAGTTATCTAAACGAATCCATATTCGTTGGATAAGATTAAAAAGATTTCGTATAGGGTTTTTGACACGATTTCGATAGTGCTTGTGCACCATACTATCTATTTCCTGTACTTACCATGTCGTTTTTAGTGTATAATAATCCTTACTTACTTTGTAATCCGTCATGTGGCTCAGTTGTATGAATATTTTATTCTTGTTAATATTTTCGAAATATAGTGTTCAATTTTCGATTATGTTCTTATCACTTAAAGTTTTCAAATCAGTCGTATAAACAAAATACAAAAGTTCAGTTCTCCAACCGACTTAATATAATGTAAGACACCTGGTAACTAACTCGGATGTTCCTCGTTTCATCATCTCAACGTTCTTTACTCCTGTCACTTCTAACTCGTTACTCGTTTGTTTGTTGTCACCAGGAATTTATTTGGAGTAAAACGAAGCATAATAATCCAAATACTTACATACGCCTATTTACTAGTTTTTGTTCACGAAACATGTCTTAGAAGTTTGATAGTAACCGAGATTAGGCGTGCGGTACTAGTCAATTATCCCAAGTCGATTGAAAAGTCGTGAATTTCATCAACTGTGGTGGTCGGGACGTGTATTAAGTGCCTCAACAACTTACCTTTGTTAAGTCTTGAGTTTAATTTTTGTTTCGTACCTTACGATCTATCGAATTCATCCTCTCGTTTCACACAGCTGTTTAACGTTTCTAATGATTATCGATAACTACCATTACTTGAACTCGTGCTATTTATCTTAATTTTATCATATAGGCCTAATGTGTTATTGCATCTTAAGCTAATAGTCAGAAACTAGGTAGCATGTCTCAGAATCGTTTGAAATGTCTCAGGCGTATCCACTCTTTGTGTTCCCTTACATCTCGGGTTTTAAAAATATTTTATACTTTTTATTCTGTAAATTCATCCTTTACATATTTTATCTTCTGTCTCTAATTTTTTTTTACTACTATTCATCCTGTTGCTGTTTTACTGTGTCATCTTTTTCATGTCTGCTGATGTAGTGTGTTGACTTGGACTAATGAAAATTCGTGTCAGTCGCTACGTTGTTTATAATTAACTGCATCGGTTAAAATTTATCGTATGCATAATTTGCATTCGGAATTTTTTGTTTCAGATCTTATCGTTTACTCAGTTATATGAGATTTTACTTTTAAATTGTCTCAAGTAGTTGACTACTGTTCAGATTCACCGAAATTCGTTCAAACAGCAAGGACTTTGCGTTTTTCCTGTCAATTGAATATACTGTGTGTGCATAACATTTTGTGTTTTCATACACGTTTTCTTTTGTTTACTTGAAGCAAGCAGGAACAAAGAACTAAACAGTAACATATATAATCATCTGTCGCATCACATTCCTATTAGCTACAGAAGCAAAATTACAAATTAGGTTAGAAGTTTTGATATATGACCAGTGAAAACATGTGATTGGGCTTCGAGCAAAGATAAATACTGAGCTTACTGATATATGAATTCCTATTTATTATTGATTTTTACTCCAGACGTGATATGTATGGGGAATAGTGGTTGCATTGGATAAATCTGTTGTCTAAGTTGTACTGTGGTTTTCTATTCTTAGTCGAGAATCGTATACATAATATAATGTGGTCCTCAGTCTTTGCATAGCGCATCGATCGAGTATCCAGTTTACTCGTAATATAATTTGTACATAGATCGTATTATATTATTTGTGGCATACAGAAAATGTAATATCAAAGTTAGTACAAACACATCTATACAGCATAGCAAACATGCAAATAAAAATAAGTGTCTAAGTAATATATTGGAAATATATATCATGTACAGAGACATTAATTTAGTAGCAAAGGACAAAAAAGCTAGGAATAAGTGGTTGTGCAATGAAAAAGCACTACTGACAATTAACGATAACCTATTCTGTGATTTCATCTGTGTGATCATGTCAACAAATACGATGGCAGTCCCAACACTGTATACTAAACACTACGAGATGGGTGTAATTTTGTAGTTCTTTTGCATATTTAGTATACAAATAATATAAAAATTTACTAACTGACTACACGTGATATAATGGATAATTCTCTCATCCTCAACTTTGTTTTATATAACATCATATGGTTATATACGTTCATCCACTCGGCTAATTTAATTTCAATCACACTTGTGGGTTTGTTTTGTTCCAAGTTTCCTCATATTTACCCATTCTATCATAATATAGAGTTTCTTTTTTAATTGCAGTCGAACACCCATGTCTGTTGTCCCTCAGTATGATGTCTCTGATCCGGAATCTATTGGTAAGTAATTTTGGCTTTTAACACTATTACTTTTAGGACCTAGAAATCCTTCTCTGCCAAGAGATACATCTCAGAGGCAGTTTGATATACCTGGACCAAATCAAATATTAGATAATTTCAATCGTGTTTCACATAATTTATCATGTGAAACGTTTTCTGGTGACTCAACAAAACAATCCCCCATTTCTCTGGATCCTAATAATGATCTCATCTGCAAAGATGAATGCTTAATAGGACACTCTGTTGTCAGTAGAATTATTAGTAATGATGAATCATTTGTACCTCACATAAAGAAGGTTAAAGTTAAGAAAGAGAAAAAGCATAAGAAGCATAAACACAAACATTCTGACAAAAGGTAACTATTATTTACTTTGTTACATAATAATATATTAGGGCTTGTATTCAACTCGACGATTCAACTAATCAACTATTTATGAATCCAGGTGACACAGTATCTTGTTCTAATATTGATGTATCTGATAAGAAGCATGCAAAGAAACACAAGAAACATAAGAAACATAAACATGGAAATAAAGAAGACAAGAAACAAGTTAACTCAGATGTAAATTCATCAGTACAATGTATAAGTCTAGATAAAATCAATGTAAATGAGCTTAGCTAATAAACTCTTCTAGTTCTTTCCATGTACATAGGTTTTGAAGAACATGTATATAATGTCTAGATTATCATGATCAAGTTTACGAATTTACTGGACTTCATAATTTTAAATAAATTATTTTTTATCATGAATAAAGTGTTATTCTTTCATAAAGTCGTTTTGTGTACCCATAACCTTGAAAGTAAAGAAGGATGAATAACTTTTATTGGCAATATTAGTTGTGATTGTTTTGAAGTTTACTACAATAAACTTCGGATTTTAAAATATTTTTCATATGAGAAGCAATAATTTAACTCATTCACCAGGTGAGCCACACTCCATGTGTGAGGGCTATTGACATTAGCTGGTTGCCTAAACTGAAGTAGGTTGAGATATTAAAGAGGAAGAATGTACTTGTAAAATCTCAGTGAATGACTTTGAAGTAGGTTGAGTCTAGTTAGAACTTGAGACTTGACGTCTAGAATTCGACTGCCTTAACTACCAAGTTGCTGCTCGTGGATTGTCATATGAAGAATAGTCTATTTACCATAATCTTGGATGTTCTTGTGTCGTAATCTCTCCGTATAATAATATGTGATATCTGATTTATGTGCGTCCTGGTTAGTTTTGTGATGAGAATTAGTAATGTTAACGTTTTCCGTCAGTTTCACTTTTGTTTCTGAAAACTTCATGGAAGCGAAATGCCTTATTGTAAAAAAGCGTAGATACTTCAAACGACTAGTTAGTACTTTGTTTACTGAATCAATATTAACAACATACATCTATTAACCGATCCCCTCTCGTTGTTGTTACAACTAAAAAAATCATTCAATGTTTAGAAATCCACTATTTTACGGAAATTCGAGCAGAATAAGTAAAAAAATCCTTCCTAATCACTACACCGTTGAAACCAGCTCTATAAAATCCACACCCTGAATAGTCAATTCCTAGAAGAAAACACTAAAGACCACATAAGGTGTGGCTCACTGTTAAGTATGCGACTTTGTACATGGTAAATGTGTTACTTCATCAATGATATCTGTAATTATGTAAATGTCTATATTTTCCGGTGTTTCTTCTATTAGAATAAACCTTTGAAATTCTTTTGTTTTCCTAATAGTTAAGGGATGTATTAATAATCATAAGACACAACGTACATGTTTCGTAGAAAGACATTCTAATGTACTTTCCGTATAACGCTGATGCTTAAATTTGCATCATTTTTTATATAATTGAACTTTCATATATTAGAGGGTCTATCATTTTCTGTTCATTCTGGATAGGTACATACCAAGTAGTACTCAGTGTTTTAGTCGTGGAGACGAAGTTTCGCAATTGAATTTGCTCCATAGAAGAACCATGTCCTGTTTTTCGTCAATGTTAACGCAAAATAGTATATTTTTTATAACGGCTTATTAGCATTATATCTTTCGGGAAACTGAATGATTGTTATTCGTTCTTTGTAGACTAGAAAAGTCCATCTAACAGATTTAGCTCCTGTCGCTTGATGCGTTCTTTTAGTAAAAGGTAGGCCTATTGATAATAGTGTAAATCTAACGTTTTTTTACCACTCGACAAAATCTTATGTGTCTAAAACTTAATTTAGTCTTATTTCATCTACGAGAAATAGGCTTCATGGAATGAACTACTTGAAAATGTAATTTGATGGAATGTTTACGGTGTCACGTCATTGCGATTGATTTTTTTGGAAAAATACTAAATTGTGTCTTGAAAAAACCTATGCATAAACTAACAACACAACTAGTCAGATATATATTCAGGTTTAGTAGTCTATTCAAAACACTTAGAAATTAGGCTATCTTTTCGCTCGTTTCGATATCAAAATTATTTGAGTTAGCGTCAATCTTTATTCTTTATTTTGATATTACTTGGTTTTAATTAATGTCTGTTGTACTGCTCTTACATTTATTCTGTGGCGTTTTGTATTGTAATACGGGTGCTCTTGTGTATTTTAAAACTGATTTTACAAGCTCTGTTTCTGTGCAGCCTAATTCACTCGTTATTCCGGTTTTTGTTAAAGAAAAAGAAAACATTCGTTGTAAAATCTCATTATAAACTGTACTACTACCACCGATCCTGTCTTTTAATGCTATGAAGCATTTCTAAGTATTCTCAGTGATTAAAGATTTCCTTCAGCAAAAGATGAAATGAAAAGTTAAATATCGTGTTTACCTTTTATGAGTCATTGTACTTTTTATCAGGTTACTTATGGGGTTAGGTGTGTGTTCACGTTTAAACAATAGTAGCAACATGTGCAAAAGATGGGCATGTCACAATATTCTCTTTAAATCATTCTCTAATGAGAGCTTTCTTACATTTAAGAAAAAATACTTCCAGTATTTCAGTTTATAATTTCAGAGAATTCAATTACAATTTATAACGTTCAAGTAGGACTTCATTGTTACCCAGACTTTGATCTAATATAAATATCAGTAGTTTTGAGTAATTATTGATTTGTTTTATAAGTTTATTGTCTTTCTCTGAGAAATCCTTTCTGAGTGAGAATTGTTTCATAGCTTAGTATAAGTATTGCTCTCGCGTTTATCAGTAAGATTTCTCGTTTCAACTAATAATAAATGATAGGTCGGAGCCACTATTAATTATAAGGTCATTCTGTCATTGATCTGCTTTGATGCAATTATATGTAGAGAGGGACATCATAGTATATATGCGCCACACAATAAAATAAGATTGTTTACTGATAAAGGAAGATAGCAGAGGACAATAAAAAAGGAACGGTGGATTGAAAAGCGTGTGAAAAATACAATAGTAAAGGCAGACTCAGTTCACCTCAGAAAATATTCTTTTAACCTTATAGTCTTAACCATCTCTAGGCCCCAACCAGGGAGTTGTGTATGACCGACGGATACTAGTTATATGCAGCTTTCCTTCGTACCTGACAATATGTCTTACACTGACCGCCACCGCTTTACACTACAAGTCCCAATATCGACCTGCGATGTGTTCTCTAGGACGACATTTTACAGTACAATTTCAAGCCACCGGAGACGATGTTTCGATATGGTAACACGAATTGAATTATCGTCTCTGCATCCGAACACAATTTGCCAAACCTTCACATTTTTAACATTGTGTTGCCGCTGGATAGCAACAATCATGACAACGGAGATCAGGAGCAGCGAGTCATTATCATTCTTAACTCGGAGCAAAACTGACTTTTACAACCCAACTAATATTCCGAAGATAGCTCAGATTGGCATAAGCTGTTCTGGCTTTCACTACGTGAGTTTCCGGCAGTTAACAGGGACAGTTGCCGCTTCCAACTCATCATGCTCCAATCACCAGGCTTCTCGGTTCTTACGCAAGCTGTGCACGATTCCATTATGTAGTAATCTATGTCCGTCGTCAAACTCCGCAATGACCGGCGTAATCCGACGTGCCTCGACCAGTTGTAAGGAGCATGTAGAAATCTAGTGCTTACTAGGCGAACGTTCCACTAAGCCACAAGCGGCTATACTTGCCTTGGTGTCATATAGATGTACCCGATTCTCATCCAAACTTTTTGATGCGTCGATAGCTAGCCTTGAACACAGCTCGGTTGGAATCAATTTGCTCGTCGATCCGTTTCAGAAGAATTCGTATTCAGTGGTTTTGCTCAACGTTCGGCCAGTTAGTGACCTGGGATCGTTTAGATAGGACAGGATTTTGATCATAAGTGAGCTCCTGTATGAGTTGGGAAAGCAATATAATCTAAAATAAAAACAAATCCACACAATTGTTGTGAATACAATTTGAGCCAGAATACTTTCTCTATAGTTGTAATAATTTAATTTTTGTTTCAGCTAGCATGCTGCCCATGATCTCTAGTCAACCTGAATGGCAAGTTAATGTAGGTCCTCCGTCCCTTTACGAAGTTGAAAAAGCCATAGGAAATCTGAAACGAGGGAGAGCAGCAGGCCCTGACAGGTTTACTCCTGAGATTTTTAAGGATGGTGGTCCAGTATTAGCAATGAGATTAACCGAGGTCTTAGGTAGAATTTGGGAACTGGACGTAATCCCATCTGACTGGTCTCAATCACTGATTGTGCCAGTTTATAAGAAAGGACAAAAGTCCTCCTGTGACAATCACAGAGGAATCAGTTTGACTAATATAGTGTCTAAAATATTAGCCTCAATAATACTTCGACGCCTAATTAAAGCTCGTGAAGAGCAGATTAGAGAAAACCAGGCTGGTTTTCGACCTGGACGTGGTTGTATAGATCAGATATTCACACTACGTCAGGTTCTAGAACACAGACACATTCAGACGCCCCACAATTGTAGTATTTCTCGACCTTAAGGCAGCATTCGACTCTGTTGATCGTGAGGTTCTATGGCAGTGTTTGTCACTGAAAGGAGTACCAAAGAAGTACATTAACCTTATAAAGGCTCTCTATTCGAACACAACTGGTAGAGTGAGAGCTTATGGCGAACTGTCATCAGAATTGATTACCTCAAGTGGTGTTCGTCAGGGCTGTCCACTCTCCCCATTCTTGTTCAACTTTGTCATTGACGTACTTTTAGAGATAACACTCTCCTCATCTAAATTTCCAGGGGTTGAACTTCTACCAGGAGGTTCACTTGTTGACTTAGAATATGCAGATGACATAGTTTTATTTGGCAAAGACGCTGACAAAATGCAGAGTCTTCTGACCACTCTAAGCAACAATGCAAGCATGTTCGGGATGCGATTCTCTCCCTCGAAATGCAAAATGTTGCTTCAGGATTGGGTTACATCCACACCCGAACTAGTGATAGGGAGTGAAGTAGTTGAGTGTGTCGACCGCTTCACTTATCTTGGAAGTCTCATCAGCCCTTGTGGTCTGGTTTGTGACGAAATCTCAGCACGGATACAGAAGGCTCGACTAGCTTTTGCCAACTTGCGTCATTTATGGCGTAGGCGAGATATCCGTCTATCAACCAAAGGACGTGTTTACTGCGCAGCAGTTCGTTCCGTCCTACTTTATGGCAGTGAAACATGGCCGGTAAGAGTAGAGGATATCCGTAGGTTACTAGTATTTGATCATAGGTGTCTTCGAAACATTGCTCATATATCATGGGACCATCGAGTAAGTAACACAATTGTTAGGAAACGGGTACTAGGTAAGGATGGCAAACCAATTGATGAAGTAGTG